ATACCCCCCTTGCCGGGGTGTAAGAAAAAGGAGGTGTGACACAAACCAAACATGCATACCAACCTAAAAACATCATATGGGCTTGCTCATGCATTCAAATCACCAAAATAACATCAACAACTATGAATTTAGCATTAAAATCATGAAATTATTTAAGAACTTCAAATTTCTTAATTTCCTCAAATAAGGTCTGATTCATATCATTTCAAGTCCGTTTCTTACCAAATTTCACAGACTCGACTTAAACCACATATAAGACCTGTACCGGGCTCTGAAACCATAATACGGGCCCGATACCATCAAATTTTAAACACATTTCATTTCCAAAACTCATAAATAGTTCCAGAAAATAATTTTCTTTAAAAATTCATTTCTCGGGCTTGGGACCTCGGAATTTGATTCCGGGCATGCGCCCAAGTCCCATATTTTCCTGCGGACCCTTCGGGACCGTCAAATCACGGTCCCAGTCCATTTACCCAAAATGATGACCGAAGTCAACTTAATTTATTTTAAAGTCAAAATTCATCATTTTTCACAGATTTTCACATATTGGCTTTACGGCTATGCACCCGGACTGCACACGCAAATCGAGGTGAGATAGAAAGAGGTTTTTAAGGCCTCGAAACACATAATTTACTTTTAAAACAAGTGATGACCTTTTGGAACATCACATTAGCATACCTGGAGTAGGGAAAATTCTGTATAATACTCTTGAAAAAGATTGCACGTACACCTTTAGAACCGCAAAATTTTACGTTGCTATGATTCTAACAAATTCTCATTGGAATTGTGTTGTTGCACGTTGGATTGAGTTTAGAATCGCAAGAACTGGATTAGCTTTTGTTCTTGAAGCCATTTGAACGAACTAGTTTCTGCTCTTTGAAGCACTATGAACGAAATAGGAAAATGGGACATATGATCCTTACTTGGATTATGAAAGTTCTTATCTTCTTTGTCCAAAATAAAAAATGAGATAAGACTTATCATAAGTCTTTGATTACTAATTCCAAAAGTAATCCTAGATAGTCACCTATTAAGGAGATTAAAGAGTCATTTTCTAGGCTAGCTAATGCTGTCACGTGGGGGTGGGGTGGGGGAAGTTAATCTTTATTCAAATATATTTTCAATTAATTAGGCAATGTCCCGTTACCCGATAATTAATTAATTACCCGCAAAATTGAGAATTATTCCCACTTACCTAAAATATTACTCACTTTTCACATACCTTATAAACCTTACTACCATGGTCATCTAGTTTCTTGTATGACACTAGTCCATAAAATATCGAGTATTTTAGCTCGGGTCGTATTTTACTCCAAAATGCCAACTTGGGAAAAAAAAATCATTTTCTTTGACTTGCTCCCCTTTCATCTTAATGAATTTACTAATCACTTGTGAAATAGCATAATCCTTATAATCTCCAAATAATCTTTTACTTGGACTGATGTCAATTACCTTACGACAAATTCAACGTACAATACTTCAGGATGCAACATCGTCGTAACTTAATACTGCGAAGCGTGATATCATCGTAATGTAATACTGCTGGGTGTATCAGTGTTATAATTTATATTCCCCTCAGCATGTTTTCCCTTCCCATCTTTATCTGTTAAATGTCTGTTATTATTATTTCTCGTATATGATTTAACTGCACAGGTTTATATTGTTGTCGTGTCCTAGCCTCGTCACTACTTCGCCGAGGTTAGATTCGACACTTACCAGTACATGGGGTCGATTGTACTGATACTGCACTTTCTGTGTAAATTTCGATGTTGGACCTCGTGAGTAGAGTTTGGGTTGCTGCCTTCAATCCACGAGAGACCCAAGGTAGATCTGCTGGCGTTCGCAGACCCTAGAGTCCCCTTCTTCCCCATTTTTTTGGATTTCTTGTCTCTTTCTATTTTGAGAACAGATGTATTTCTTTTAAACCTATGTTTGTAGAATTTCTTAGACGTTCGTGGATTGTGACACCAGATCATTGGGGTAGTCATGTATTAGAGTTGTTGAATTGTTACAACACTTCCGCACTTTATCTCTGTTTGGCTTTAGCTATTATTTATTTCTGTTCTGGTTAATAATTAATGTGTTAAAACTATATCTGTCGGCTTGCCTAGATTTCAAGAGTAGACGCCATCACGATCCCGACGGTGAAAAATCCAGATCGTGATAGTAATAAATTTTCTTCCACAAACTTAATATTTGACTCAATAACTACAATAAAATTAATTCCTACTCTCACATTTAATTAGTATATAAATATATTTTGGGTTATTACACCTACGACAAAAATCGCACATAATATTTGGCACTCATCAACACACATAAGGTTTCATGTACTACGTTTGATTAATGAGAAAAATAAGCAGTTGGTTAATATGATTGTAATATTAAATTAAAAAGCTTTTAAGCTTTGAATTTGATATTTGGGTTTTATGATTTTGTGATTTGTTTGGAATGGGTGTTCTGGCAAGTGATTGAGAATACCTTTTGGAGTTTATATCTCAAATTCGAGGGAGATTGGTTAAGTATAGAGTTGATTTTAGGTAAAAATTAGATTGAAACTCTAAAAAAAAGATGTTGCAGGAATTGTATGATAATTTTATTATAATTATACAAAAGTGTATCTAATACATCAATACCTAAACCATAATTATATCATAAATGTATCATATTTGTATCACAGTTGTATCTAACTTGTATCTGATATAGTAATACCTAAAACAGTACCTAATACAATACTAATATAGTTACTATCCATTTGTGATACAAACTGTGACACATTCCTAAATATTTATGATACAATTGTGATCTTCATCTTCTTCAAGTTTCAATCACAACTCTAAACTTAAAATATGATATAATATTGTATTATAATTGTATTAGTATTGTATCAGGTATCGTTTTAGGTATTAATGTATCAGATACAAGTAACATACAATTTTGATACAATTATGACACAATTCTAAAATAATATTGATACATTTATCGTACAATTATCATACAATTCACCTGCAACTTCGTTTTCTTCAAGTTTCAATCTGAAATTTTACCTAAAACCAACTCTAAACTTAACCAATTTTCCTCAAAATTGAGATATAAACTACAAAATATATTCGCCATCATTTACAAGAATACCCAATCCAAATAAATCACAAATTCGTAATCGCGATTATTGAATTCAAAGTTTCGAAATTTTTTAATGGATGTCAATGGAGAACCCTTTGCTGTTGCAATTTTAGAGACAAAATTTTTGCCATTTTCGTCTGTATCGTGAGAGAAGTACCGATTTTGGGTGATAAGTATGAGGGAGAGAGAATGAGATGTGAAATCTTTTGAAAAATAAATGAAATTCGAATTTTTAGGAGAACGATTGGTGAAGGAGAGATGAGATACTAAATTTAAGGAATCTTCTATTTTCTTCTTTTTTATAGTTTTGTACGTTATAGAATGTAATTAAATACCAACCTAAATAAAATGGTAAATAAGTTTCTATAATAGCATAGCTAGGTAAATTTCCCCTCTGGAAACTTTAGAAAAGGCCAGTGTATAGAACACAAAAATCCATGGGAGCCCATATTAATTTGAAGTCTGGTAGATGCTCTTGCCAAATGGGCACCATCAATGTGTGAGATGTAGCAGTACTATAACAATTGCAGTAACTTTTAAGTTATATACGCACTATATAGATTTTCTTATAAACAAAGTATGAGTATCCAATGAAAGGTGTTCAACTAAGTACCCTTCGCTAGGAGTGTATATGAACCGGGTTGGTTCGATTTTTATCAAAATCGAACCAAATCAACTATATCGGTTTGGATTGGTTCGGTTTTATCGGGTTTTTCGTGTTTTCAATTTTTTTTGGTTATATGAATATTATTCCAGTCTTACTTTGTTAAAGTTATAGATAAAGTTTTGATAAATAAATATATGTTTAGTAAATATTGAAAAAAATGACAAACATATGATCAATCAAAATATTCTAATGGGAGATTTTTTTTAGTAACACGTGATAGTTATTTTCTTAGTCGGCTAACAATAATTTTTATTAATGTACGCTTTCAAAGTTAACACATAAGAGGATATATATATATGTGTGTGTGTGTGTGTGTGTGTGTGTCAGTTTGGTTCGGATTTTTTTACTCAATACCAAATCAAGTCAAATCAAACATAATCGGATTTTTTAATCAGTTTGGTTTAATTTTTCGGTTTGGTATGATTTTTCGGTTCGACTTGAATACCCCTGCCTTCGGTATATGTGGTTCCGTCATAAGTTTGAGATTTTGTTATATTTTTCTTTTGGGGAGGTTTGCTTCTTTGTCTTAATGAATTTTCTAAGAATACTCCATATAAAGAGGAGATTTCTCCTGCAGTTGGCCTCATGACCGCATAGAACTTACTGGATATTCAAATGACAACAATAACAATAACAAATTCAGTATAATCCCACACGTGAGATAATGGGTATGCAAATCTTACCCCTACCTTACAAAGATAAAGAGGTTGGTTCATACGGCGCATAAAACTCTTTCACCATACCCTACATGTTACAGTGCGACCGGATTTATTTCTTCTTTTATGAGATTGATTAATGACCTTAAAATTTATTACCTTTTCAGTACCGTTATTTCTCTAATAGAAGAATACTTTGCAAATGCAGTAGGAAGAGGATTCTCTCCTTAGCCAAACTAATATAGGAGCACATCAAAATTCTTGCCAAATTTGCATCGATAAAAATATTTATTTCTTGGAATTTAAAATCCAAGTAAATAATGATAACAGCTTCAAGTAGCAAAAGTTGCCATACTTATTGGAATCAAATAATAAACTTCCATACGTGAAAATCTCCCAAAATGGTTGAGTTCCCATATTCATTTGGTTAATTATTAAATTCTAAGATTGATACAATCTACGACCAAATGAATTTGATTTTGAAATGGTATAATAAAATACTACTATATAAGAGAATCTTTAGATCATTCATTCATTCAAAAGCTTTTTTTTCTCTCACCAATGGAGTTTTATCAAACGTCAAAATGCATTGTAATTCTTTCTCACCCTAACTTCTATATTTAATTCAAGTGTTTGCATCGGTTATTATTATATTTCTATGTTGATATTATTGTTTTATTGTTAAGGATTTGTTATTGAAAAATGTTGTAACAGCTTTTGGCAAAAGTAGCGGTCGTTTTGACATGGGGAATGCTATGCCTTAGAGCAGCGGAATGCAGTGATAATACTGCAGGATCAGTGGACTATGAAGCAATAAACTGTAGAAAGCACACTGCATTTTTGACAGATTTTGGAGGCAAAGGAGATGGATATACGTCAAACACAGAGGCTTTTAGAAGAGCAATTAGTGAATTGAGCAAATTTGCAACAGATGGGGGAGCACAGCTCATTGTTCCTCCTGGGAAATGGCTAACAGGCCCTTTCAATCTCACTAGCAATTTTACTCTTTATATACACCAGGATGCTGTCATTCTAGCTTCTCAGGTTTCTTTCATTCTCTCTTCATTTCATTTTTTCAAAATTTTCTTTGAAGTTTTTCGATAACATGAAAAATCATTGTTAAATGCTTTGATGATATGAAGAAAACCCAAAGGCTTCGCCCTCCCGCTCTATCTATCTAAGGGATGGAAGGAGAAAGGATTTGTTGTCCGTAATTTATTTTGTTCCTTTATATTAATCTTTTGAATAGTCAATTGTGCGAGAGAATAAGATTTTTTCAAAATTGTCCCAATGTTTCAAACTTTTTCCTATATTAGTTTTGTTTAGTTAGTTTTCGGACACATAAGAATCTCCACAATGGGACATCTCATTTCAAAGCACAACATTAACATTATACTTGTCACTTGACCTAGCAAATCTAGACGAGGTTCTGTGACGTAAGATGCAATATTTCATGTTAAGATACACTGTGATATGTGTATAGGATGAGGCAGAGTGGGATTTAATTCCACCATTGCCATCTTATGGAAGAGGAAGAGATGCTGCAGGACCAAGGTTTATTAGTCTCATCTTCGGAACAAACTTGACTGATGTAGTCATTACAGGTAAATATCCATTGGTTACTCCCTCTTTGTTCGATCAACACAAAATAATATGCCAAAGACAAAGACCAACACTTCTGATGTTCTGTGTTATATGCATGCTGATGATAACTAGGTGGAAATGGGACCATAGATGGTCAAGGTCAACAGTGGTGGACTAAATTTCGTCAAGGTCAACTGACGTACACCAGACCTTACCTCATTGAGATCATGTTCTCCGATCATGTCCAGATTTCCAATCTTACCTTGATCAACTCTCCTTCGTGGAATGTTCATCCCGTTTACAGCAGGTTTAATTTCTTCTCTTCCCCTCATTTAATCATATCATATTCTACTAACTTGCTTAAATAGAGCAACACGGACAATGATGATTTATATAGCTGGCCTCAACTTACTTGGGATTGAGACATAGTAATAGTAATTGTAATTGTGGTTGTTGTATATTCCAGTAACTTGCTTGACATTTACTATTTGGTTCTTAATTGTTTTTTGCTTTTAAAAATGCAGTTTTGTGGTGATCAAAGGATTAACAATCCTTGCACCAACTGATTCACCAAACACAGATGGGATTGACCCAGGTTTGTTAAAAGAACATGGTAAATATGTAAGAAAAATGACTGTCATTTGTAAGTAATTCATTTTTTGGTTGTTCGGCAGATTCTTGTTCAAACACCAGAATTGAAGATTGCTTCATAGTCTCAGGGGACGATTGTATAGCAGTGAAAAGTGGTTGGGATGAATATGGAATAGCATTTGGAATGCCTACACAGCACCTAATCATAAGAAGACTTACCTGCATATCTCCTGATAGTGCAGTCATTGCTCTTGGAAGTGAAATGTCCGGTGGCATTCAAGATGTTAGAGCTGAAAACATTACAGCAATCAGTTCAGAATCAGGCGTGAGAATCAAAACTGCTATAGGACGAGGGGCATACGTTAAAGACGTGTTTGTAAAAGGAATGTCATTGCAGACAATGAAATATACCTTTTGGATGACAGGCGATTATGGGTCTCATCCTGATGATCATTTTGATCCAAAAGCGCTTCCTGTCATTCAGGGAATTAATTTTAGGGATGTTATTTCTAAGAATGTCACAATAGCAGGGAAATTAGTGGGGATAAAAGATGATACCTTCAGCGGAATTTGCATTTCGAATGTGAGCATTGAGTTGTCAGAACATGCTAAGAAACAACCATGGAACTGCAGTGATATACAGGGTGTTTCTAGTCAAGTGAGTCCTCAGGCGTGTGCTCTGTTGCCTGATCAGAAAATTGATTGTCCTTATCCCAGTGATACATTGCCTGTTGATGAGATTCAGTTCCAGACTTGTGCTGCAGCTACTTACTGTTGAGTAAAAGATAGAGAGATGTCCAGCTAGTCCCGTGTTCTTATTATGCTTCAGAGTTTTGGAACCATTATGAATTTTAATTAAACGACATCTGCTCCAGTACATGTTTTCCAGTCTTCTAGTTAAAATCAAGTTATAGATGTTACATCATATGCTTCACTCTAGGACTTAGACACTATGCCCTCGAGCATACATTAGCAAGTAATCTTTGAAAGGACTAAAAGAAGCCATAGGAGCTGTTGGGACAGCAATTAGATTAGCTCCTTGCATCAGGTTTATTATAATCTTCTAGATAATAGTGGCATAAAGCGGTAGCTTTTAATTCATTAATATCCCTATGTTTCCTGCCATTTATCAGTTGTCAGACATTGATGGCTGTACCACAATTAGTCCCATTTCAGATCATCTGTGTAGTTGATACTTTAATACAAATTGCTGGAATTGTTAGGGGTATTGAAATACCTTTGCATTTCATAATTACAAAAATATTCTGACACTGCTTAATTCCACTTTTATTTGACTGGCATTATACACAAATAGCTGATCTTATACAAAGCAATATACGTAAAATGTAGGAAGAGCTGATCAAGAAATGGATGTTGCTAAAAATAGCTCCAAAAGTTTCATAAGAAATGATAAGCATAATCAGCTCTCGAGTTCTCCAAAGAACGGTTTTGGGATGCATAAATTATTAATTTCCCCAATCAGTGGAGCATTCGGTGGGAGAGGAAGCAACTTGATCTCAAACAACTTTGGCCATAGTTTCCCTGTCACTGCAGTGAAGGACAGAATGATGTCATTCGCAGAACCATCCAAATGCTAAGGATTACTAGAAGAGATTGATAATACGCAATTCAACCGCTGCAGAAAGTCCTCTATTGGACATTTTACTTTGGTATTAAATGTATACTATATTTTTCTGTGTCTTACAAATTGAGGTTTCTGTGCATGATTGAGGGAGAGGGATGACAACTAAACCAAAAGTGCAGGTTGTGTAACAAGGTTGAGCAATAATATGATATAAGAACATAAGGGGAAGATAAAGCCTTCAAGATTAGAAACATTCTACTGATACTCGTTCATTGAAAATTGAAAATTTATTATGCATTATACATGAAACATTAAGGGGCTACACTTAAGTGTGGATTTATCCAAAAAGCTGATGCAGGCCACAGAAAATATCATAATGATTAATTCTTACCAAAAACACGGTCACCATCTCTATCCCATGCGATTCCATTCAGTACCTCAAAGTCCTGCAATGAAGTGCAATAGAGGATTTAGCTTTCGCTCTATAACATCAAAGAACCTGGAGGGGGGCAGGTCAAGGGAACGCGAAGGTGCATGTGATAAAGTTCTTTCACTGATGGAAGTAAATAACTTTACTAGTTCCTTGTTATTTAGTAAAAGGAGGGGATGAAGGTAGTAGTCAATATGGTTACAGTATTATCCTTAGAATCCTGGTGTAACTAATTTCATATATGGAAGCACGTCTCACTTCCCATCAGTATAGCCTCCTTGCCATCTAAGTGGAGAGGTTGGGAACTTTTCTTTCATCTTCCTTCCTAACTCTGAATAAGGTACAGCTAATTAACCTCTGCTTCACTTGTCATCATCCATATCATCAATCAATGTGACACCCATCCAAGGCTTATCAACAGAAGACTAAAAGAAAAGGAGAGAGAAAGAGAGAGAGGAAGAGAAACAGATACCAAAATAAACCAGAAAGCAGCTCTAATAATGCATCTTACGCGAAAAGGTAAAAAAAGTACCTTATAGCCTCTTGATATTAGATCTTCCCTGAAAAGAGCCATAAAAGCTATCTGTTAATAAATCTCGATCAGAACGAACAGTGATACATTAGGACAAAGAACAAAAGCTAATACCTCAAAGATTGGAGGAGAATCCACCCAATTACGGTTCCATCTTTTGGTGAGATTCTAGCAATGCAATCAGTCTGCAGAGAAAAGCAATACCGACATTACTTCGGCCTCTAATTTAAACTCAAATCTGGAGTTAAGAAATATGACACTAAGATGTCGAAAAAGAAGAAGATTGTCTGCCACCTTCTAGTGTCATAACAATATCTAATTGGAGTATGTTTATGAAGAGGCTTGCCGAGACAGTTGCTCTAACTTACTTGAGACTGGATAAGAACAGGATTGGATTGAGTCACCAAATAGACTCTTGGTTCATACCGTGATGCCATACACAACATACTTTATTGAAAACCCAATAAGTCGAACAAACCTATATGACATAATACAACTAGCTTCTCAAGCAAGGTTGTTTTCTGGAACTATATCCCTGAATACTACAACCAAAACAACTATTTGACAAAGTTTCTCAAAGATGTTTTCCTAAATATGTGGATAGTGTAGAAAAAATAGGAAGAACACAAAGCCAACTCAGTAAAAGAAGCAGTTCATACCACATAAACATTTGCCCAGATTTCATTCTTCACATACTCCAGCTCATTGAGGTAGGGCACTTCATGCCCTTGAGACTTGACAACTCGTTTTCTGATGACTACACCAAGAAAAGGAAATCACCCTCTTAAGGAAGGAAAGAAGCAACTAAATTTCACGTAGGCTGTGGATGGCAAAACCTTTCATTGTCTGAGGATCAATCTCATATAATGTTGATGTTCCATCACTTCCAAAAAGAACTCCCCCATCAGTTGCCAATCCCCAACCATCTTGCATGTGATGAGTAAACTTTTCAAACTGCATATAATTTCAACTGCGAAAATTACAACACAATCTAGGTACAAATAAGAATTTGGTTGCTCCAATAGAAGACACACCAGTCAGGTCCAAAGAGAAGGATTTATCAAAAGTCTATCAATATTATCATAGTTTCTTGAGAAGTTATAAGAAAGGAGAACTTTAGATTTGAGACGATAATTTTAAATTGAAATTTAAATCAAAATAGAGTACCTAATACCACATATCAAGATGACAAACAGTTAGCTAACACATGGAGGTTGTGAAGTAAATTGAGGCGATAATCCTACAAACAGTACTTTTCTCATAGAACACATCAGGAGCTTTAAGATGATTGAACTAAGAACACATGAAGTAATGGGGGAAAGCATACTTTGCTCAAGTTGTATCGATCATATATGAAGCCGGTATCCTGCAACCATGTTAGTTGGAACAACCTACAAATATCCACTTGTTATACAAGAACTAGGGGCCAACGTAAATTCAAAACTAGCAAACCATCATCATAAGAATAAAGGAAAGGACATAAAAAGACGCAACAATCAAAAAGGAAAAAACCTGGTCTGGTCTAATGTACACCATCTACATTATGAATATCTATCTTTAAAGTACTCCTAAGATTAGCTTCCTCTCACTTCCAAATGAAATGTTCTAGTTTTTTTTTTTGGTTATCTCTAGCATTTGTTCATAGGGAAGCTTTTTCTGTTTTTTTTTTTTTTCTTCATACACATACTTTTACAGAACTAAAATAAAGTTCCAAGTCTTACTTCTTGTATGTACCTAGTCCAAGTAGGATAGCTGAATTAGACATAGAGAGAGCAATAGTTGCCATTTTTCTCATGAAGGAAGGCTGCTACTTGGACCGAGGATCTATCAAAAACAACCTCTCTATCTCTCACAAGGTACGGCTAAGGTCAACGTACATCCCACCCTCCCCAGACCCCACTAGTTGTGGGAACACACTGGGTATGTTGTTGTTATTGTAAGGAAGGCTGCTACTTGGAGCACTGTTAAAACTCAGATTTTAAACTACGTATAATGAAATTCTTCCAAACAGAATTAAGTATCTGCAGTTTCATAATGAAAATTGCCCCCAAAATAAATACAAATCCAAATGCGCTTAATATATAAGCATCTTTAGACTTCCATAAAATTCCTACCAAAATTTGATATATTCATAACCGTGAACGAAAAAGATGTCGGGATAGTCAGTACCAAGTTTAATTGCGAGTTTGCGACCATTAATAGGAGACAGTAGAACAGCATAAAAGTCCTACATTCTTACATACTTATCCTATCTGATAAATGCAAGTTTTTTTACTTAGCAGTGAGCACAACACATTTTCCACTAATTTGCAGAATCAGGAAAAGATGCATGGATCTATTTACTCTACGAACCTCTCACCAAGAAGAGTTAAACCCTCTCCAAAATCAGAAGACTGCATTTTATGAGCAGCCTCAACCTGTGAAGCCAGCAATAAAAGAATCTGTTAGGTCCAACATGGCACACTATAGATTTCAGCATTAGAAACTTGTACTTTTTCAAGTAAAATGTCACGATAAACTTCATAAAAGCAGATAATACAGCTTATAAATAGAATTGTTGGGATTTGGCATTATGTTAAAAGTTTTAGTAAGCAAGTTGTAGCTGTACCTTACCGTTCCCCAGTGCAACTTTTCGAACGGTTGACTGCATTTTAAAAAACGAGAGAATTAACTGTATTTATTAAGCCTAAAAAATGATCATGAAATCACATTAAGTCTAAATGCAACTCACACGTCCGTACAGTCCAGTTGATTCAAAGAGAGTATCATTTTCTGCATAGAGAAGCCCCTGAAGAGGATAAATACATGGCATCAGGGGTCGAAAGCAACTCTAATTAAATTCTCAGTAAAATTAAGCTGAAATTATAGCTACAAGTAAATTTAGTTCTAGAATTTAACCTGAGTGTAAGCCTTGGGGTCGTGGGGGAATTCATTGACCACTTTGACTTTGTAAACTTGATATGATGCTTCAGCTTCACTGAACCCGAATACGATAATGCTCAGTAGAACTACCAAGCTTAGGACTTGAAACCTTGGATTTAGCAGAGACATTTTTGGAAATTAAGCAGAAAAAGCCGTTAATGGCTTGTTGAGGTTTTGGCGATTAAAAATAGGAATATCAGTTGACGTGAATCGTGATGATCGTTGACTGTATGGACTTATTTCCGCCGTCCGATTGGATCAAATCGCGTTCCACCACCTACCTGGTGGTGGTGGTAGCTCCAGCCTATTGCTTAAATTCCACGTGCCTCGCGTTTTGCTAGGAATCGTCAAATGGAATTTAATAAAGAAGTGAAAATCACACTCCCTCCAGTAATTTGATAATGTAAGGACTATTTTGCTCTGTTAGTATTTTATTAACATCCCCATCTTTAACGGAGTAATCTATTTTGTATCATGATACTTTCTTTCTCCTTTTTTTTTATCTGTGTGATGTAGGCGCGGATCCAGGTTTTAATAGCTACGGGCGTCACTATTTAATGCGAACTTACCATGAGTTAAGGAGATTTTAGG